CTGAGACTCCTGAGTCCGCTTCGCCAATCACTATCACCGAGACCGAACAAACGGTCACGATCTCAGCCGGCGTTCCAGTAACGACGGATCGCACGGCCGAGTCCATGCAGGAACATGCAGTAGTGGAAGAGCTGATGTCCAAGCAGGCCTACAGGATAGAAACGTCCTTCATGGCCGTAATGGACAGGTTATCTTCAGAACTGCGAACGCTTTTTCAGGAGAGGATGCCGGTAGCCTCCCCCGCGACACCTCCTAGAGCCGGACCGAGGAGCCAAGAGCGCAAGAGAATCGAGCCTTACGGTGAAAGCAGCAGCCTCGGCGTCTCGGCCCACACCCAAGCATTAGGCTACGGCCAGCATTCTCTGCCACCGACAAACAGCTGGGGGCAGTCCCAGCCCACGTGGGTGAATTCTGGGCCAACCTACTCGGCAGAGACAGCGCGCGGACCGCTCCATGCTTTGGCCGTATCACTAGGGCATGGCAGCCTCGCGCATCCTGCGTGCCACCCGCTCGGTCCAGTTCATACTGCGGCTGTCCACACCCATCCTGGTCCAAGCAACGCGACCGCTATATCATCACAGCAGTACGGTCAGGGCAATCCGACCGTCTCACCACCATTGCAGGTGTCGTTGTGTCCATCGGGCTCTCACCTTCACTACGGGTCAGCCATTCCAACGGCAGCGCATACGCACCTTGGCCCAACCCACGGTGCTCATCTGGCGCCGACCAGCTCGGTCATCCCGGCCGAGCCCCTTATTCAAATGGCCCAGCAGATAAGGCCACAGAACGAGGCGCTGCAGGTCACGCGGCTGTATGCGGCCCAACAGGAGGCACCACCTCAAGGGATCCGGTTCGAAGATGTCCGGCGGATGATCGAAGACGGCCTAGCTCAGAGGCAGCCGGACGCACCCAGATATACGAGGCCATACCCGCCAGAAATTGACCGGACCCCTCTCCCCAGGAACTATCGATTGCCGGAATTCATGCTTTTTTCTGGGGATGGGCAGGCCTCCTCCATTGAACACATAGGCCGTTTCACGGCCCAGTGTGGGGAAGCCGATTCGGACGCCCAGAAGCTACGCCTATTTGTTCATTCTTTGACCGGCGCCGTGTTCTCATGGTTCATAAACCTTCCGCCGAACTCAATAAGGGATTGGTCTGATATGGAAAGGGTATTCCACGAACATTTCTATCAGACCAACCGAGAAATAACAGTCGCCGAGCTGGCAAGGATGAGCCAGGCGTCGGACGAATCGCCTCGCGATTACCTACAACGATTCAAAACATGTAGGAATTGGTGCCGCACGAACCTGCCAGAAAGGGAGTTCGTCAAGATGGCCGAGGAAGGACTAGAATTCACGAATACCGGAAGAAATTCCAGGGAATCGAATTCCGGGACATGCATGACTTGACCAACAAGGTGGACAGGTATGCGTCCTTGTTAAAGGAAGAGATGCAGAAGAAGACGGCCTCAAAAGGGACCTACTATAGGAATCCCATCGTTAGCTACGCCGAAGCAGACGGCTCCGCAGGGGCCGAGAGCGATGAGGTAGAGATGAGCTCAGCCGAAGTCCACGTAGATAAACCCTTCGTCTGCAAAGGGCTTGTTAAAACTGACAACAACTGCACAAAAATCCCTGACGCCAAGTTCGCGACACGGGAAACGAAGGCCTACACGTTTGATTTAACGAGGCCGAGGCTATCTTCGCCCTGCTATTGGCCGAGAAAAAGGTCAAATTGTCCTTCGGCCATAAAATTCCGAAACCCGAAGAGCTCAAAGGGAAAACGTTTTGCAAATACCACAGTTCTTGGTCTCACAACACCAACAACTGCGTTGTCTTGCGAGACGTCATCCAGAATTTGATAGATGAGAAGAAGCTTCAGTTTCCGGAGAAGGCGGCCATGCAGGTTGACTCCAAGCCGTTCCCCCCACCTGTCGTCAACATGGTCGACGCCCAACTCCCAGCCAAAAAAGGGGAGGCTCGTTGGACGGTGAAGGAGAAGGGGCCATTGGCCGAATCAGGACCATTGCTTTGTGAGCAATGCAAGTATGAAATCGGCCAGCCCAGGCCACAGGAAAATAAGAGGAAGGCCACCGAGCCATCTCAAACGACCATAAAGAAATTTGGCGGCCAATGCGACCAACGGCCGGCCAGCAGAGCCGTTTTCAGCCGGCTGGGGCCACAAAACCCCAGCACCTCGGAGGGCTGCGAAGAAGAGGCCGCCCCTAAGCCGATAAAAACTTTCAAACCACCGGTCATAAAGGATGACCGTTGGTACCATGCACGGCCAGGGGGCAGGGCCGAACCGCTGACGAAAACCCAGCTGAGGAGAATGCAGAGACAGGTTCAGCAGGCCAAAGTGCAGACAACCGAGGCCGAAGGCTTCAAGCGCCAAAAAAAGGTGGCGACTGCGGACGGGCCATCCTCCAAATCGGTTGTTCCCCCGGCGGTAAAAATAGCCAGCACCAAGCCTTTCAGGACGTGGCGCCCTAAGCAAGGCGAGAGCCCCCGCGGATCATCAGCCAGTTCAGTTCAGCCAAAGGCCGTGGTCATGGAGAGGACAGACGAGGGTATCGTGGACATCTACCGCGGGAGGGACCCCCCTTTTTCGGCCAACGGTCTTTCCTTTCTCAAAGAATTCCATAAGGACCATTCTGCCACGGACCTGTACGGCATGACCCCTGAGAGCCGTGAAATCGTGGAATTGGCCCTCAAGAACACAAAGGCGGAAGCGCTCCTCATCACCAGCAGTTCTGACTCGACCATTAAGGCCGTATACCAGGCAAACAGGGAAGCCAGAGCAAGTGGTCTGGCAAGTTACCAGCCCGCACTCAGCGGATCAGAGGCTAGAGTCCCTTTCAACAAGGACGATTTAGAGTATCTCCGCCAGTATTTTACTGTGACTCCGGCGGACACTATCTTTGGCCTGATGACTGAGGAAAAAGCCCAGGTGAGCCGTTTATACGATTACTTGACGGCCAGGGACGCATTGGCAAAGGCTAAACGGGCCCTCAAGGAAGAGGTCGAAGCCTCAGACCCCCCTGAGATCAAACCATCCACAACCGATAGCCCGGGGACCTCGAGACCTGTGATCGAAGGTTTCGGTGATCCCTTTTTCGGGCATGAGGCCGAAGACGACCCCGCCTTGGGAATCTCTGATGAGGAATATGAGGGAATCCTCGGCATGGTCGAGGAAAACCTCCTCGCCAAAGGCGGCTGTGAGGCCGAAGAGGAAGCTGGAAGGGGAAACCCGCGGGAACCGGAGGAGATCGGCATCAATATGGTCTTGGTGCTACCATTTGAGTTTTCAGCCCCAAGAGGGCAGACCAATGGCCTGAATGATGATGTGGCCGAGGAGCAGCTTGATCAGAGACCAAAGACTAAGGAAGAATTGTTGGCCGTGGCTTTTAACGAGGTGATACCGAGAGACGAGCTGAACAAATATCGGCATTTGAAGCCGTTGTACATCTCGGCTCACATAGAGGGTGTGCCCATATCCAAGGTCTTCGTTGACTGTGGGGCAACGGTCAACATCCTCCCTTATTCCTTGATGAGAAAGCTAGACAAGTCAAAGGAGGACCTCATCCCTAGCGATGTGGTCATGAGCAGCTTTGTCGGCGACAAGTCTAAAACCATCGGCGTATTGCCCTTAAAGATTACCGTGGCCGACCAGACAAGGGTCGCGGCCTTCTACGTGGTCAAATCAAGCGTCGACTACAACATATTGCTCGGCCGTGATTGGATCCACCAATCTGGGTGTATACCGTCTTCCCTCTTCCAATTGTTATTCTTTTGGGACGGCCAGAAGGTGTCTATACACCCGGCCGATGAAAAGCCTTTCGAGGCCAATGCCGTACAAGTTCGGATTTACGACGACGACATTGGATGGGTTGTTCTCACCGGCCACGATGCAAACGGCCAACCAACCAGAACAACGGCCCAGAAAGTACTGGAATTAGGAGCCGAGAATGTCCGACAGGATTCGGCGCGCGAAGTATTGATCAACCTCACCAGCCTTTAGATGACGGACAAAGCCACTAAAGAAGAAGGGGCAGCAGCCTTGAAGGATATGCTAGAAAGGCTGCTGGAACATTGGGCGGAGGAATCTTTACGACCAAACTCACCGATCAACCTGATCGAATTCCTCCACGAATCAGACGAGACGAATGCTCTGACTTTGGACAACCTAGAAACGGCGCCCGCCGAGATGGAGGATGACTACCCTGAAGTCCAGGATCCTTTGTTAGAAATAAATGTAGGGTCGGAGGCCGAACCACGGCCTCTTTTTGTAAGCGATCTTTTGGATCCTGAGTTAGCGGCCGAGATCATCGGCCTGTTCCATGAATATAAAGATTATTTTGCCTGGGATTATCACGAGATGCCTGGATTGCCGAGAAGTTTAGTCGAACACGAATTAAGAATCAAGGATGGGTTCAAACCTTTCCAGCAGCCGCCGAGGCGTTTCTCGACCGAGGTACAGCTCAGGGTCAAGGAGGAAATTGAACGGCTCCTTAAAGCCGGCTTCATCCGGACAGCCCGGTACGTTGAGTGGCTGGCCAACATTGTGCCGGTTTTGAAGAGGACTGGGGCTTTGAGGGTTTGCATCGATTACCGAAATTTGAACCTCGCAACCCCCAAAGACGAATACCCCATGGCTATGTCAGACCTCCTGGTGGACGGGGCCGCAAAGCACAAGCTCTTATCTTTCATGGACGGCCATGCGGGTTACAACCAGATTTTCGTGGCTGAGGAGGATGTCCACAAAACGGCGTTAGGTGTCCAGGAGCAATTGGAACCTATGAATGGGTAGTCATGCCGTTCGGCCTAAATAATGCCGGCGCAACGTACCAGCGAGCTATGAACTTGATTTTCCACGACCTTATTAGCCGTACCGTCGAAGTCTACATCGACGACGTAGTTGTGAAGTCCCCATCCAGGGCCGACCACGTGGAACATCTCCGACAGGCTTTTGACTGAATGCGAGCACATGGCCTAAAAATGAACCCGAAGAAATGTGCCTTCGGCGTCACCGCCGGGAATTTCCTCGGTTTCTTGGTTCACCAACGAGGAATCGAGGTAGATAAAAGTAAGGCTACGGCCATTATGGCGGCCCCTCCACCGAAGACTAAGAAGGAGCTCCAGTCCTTCCTCGGTAAGGTGAACTTTTTACGGCGTTTCATATCCAATCTGGCAGGGAAGATCCGGCACTTGTCTCCCTTGCTCAAACTGAAAGACACAGAGCGGTTTGTATGGGGGACAGAGCATCAAGCGGCCCTTGACGACATCAAGAAATATTTGTCCCAACCACCAGCCCTTATGTCGCCAAAAAGAGGGAAACCCTTGAGGCTTTACATTTCGGCTTCAGAGGGCTCTATCGGCTGTCTATTGGCTCAGAACAACGAGTTTGGACGAGAACAAGCGGTGCATTATCTAAGCCGTACCCTGAACACGGCCGAACTAAACTATTCACCGATCGAGAAATTGTGCCTAGCGCTTTATTTTGTGGCCACCAAGCTGCGGCATTATATGCTTCCTTCGGTCGTTCAAATCATTTCCAGGACCGATCTCATCAAATATATGCTTACTCGGCCGATCATACGCGGCCGAATTGGGAAGTGGACAATGGCATTGTCCGAATTTACCTTTCAATATGTGGCTCAGAAGTCGGTCAAGGGTCAGGCGTTGGCCGATTTCTTGGCTCATCACCCGGCCCAGGGGCAGGAGGAGGAGTTGGAGGTCGAGATCGGTATGGCCCGCATGGAAAAGAATTATTTGACCATGCACTTCGACGGCTCCAGTACCGAGGCCAGGTCAGGAGCCGGAGTCGTGATCGAATCCCCTCAAGGGCAAAAATGGCAGTTCGCATTCAAACTCGACTTCAAATGCACCAATAATCAGGCCGAATACGAAGCACTCATCATCGGTCTCGAGATTTTGAAAGAAATGAAGGCAACCCGTGTTTTGGTTTACGGCGACTCTCAGCTGGTGATTAACCAACTGACCGGGGAATACCAATGGACGAGCGAGAATTTAGCCATGTATTATGTGACGGCCCTCAACACGGCCAATGGATTTTCCAGAATTTCCTTCGTTCATATACCGCGCGTCGAGAACGGCGAGGCCAATGAGATGGCCCAGGTAGCATCAGGTGTAAACATCCCAAACACCGACCACGATCGCTTGATAAGGATCGAGAGGCGTACCTTGCCAGCTTTGGCCGAACGTGGGATGGCAGCGCAAGTGTCTTCGGCTGATATCACCGACGAGATTAACATGACCGAGGCCGACTGGCGCTATCCCATAGTGAAATATTTGCGTAACCCTTCTGGCAGCCATGAGAGGACTACACGTTTCCGGGCTCGGTGTTATTTAATTTATCAGAATGAGCTGTATCGGAAGGGATCAGATGGCTTACTGCTCCTATGTCCCAGCGCCAAGGATATCAAGGTCATCATGACTGAATCCCACGAGGGGATTTGTGGTGCTCATCAGTCTGGGGTCAAGATGAGGTGGTTAGTTCGGAGGCACGGCTATTACTGGCCGACCATTTTGAAAGATTGCATAGAATATGCGAAGGGATGTATCAACTGTCAAATCTACGGCCCCATACAAAGGGTACCGGCCGAAGCCCTCCACCTGATTACCAAACCATGGCCGTTCAGAGGGTGGGCCGTAGATATCATCGGCAAAATCCATCCGGCTGCATCCAACCAACACGCATGGATTTTGGTGGCGACCGACTATTTCACCAAATGGGTCGAGGCCGAGTCCTATCGGTCAATATCCAGCACACAGGTGGTCAAATTCTTTGAGAATCACATCGTTCACCGGTTCGGTATTCCAGAAACTATCAGGGCCGATAACGGCCCGGTATTCGCATCGGCCGAAACACGGGAGTACACCGAGAAAATGGGGATCAAATTGATCCACTCAACACCTTACTACCCTCAATCTAACGGACAGGCCGAGGCAAGTAACAAAGTAATCAAGGGCATCCTTGAGAAGATGATCGAGGAGAAACCTAGAGCGTGGCACGACTTGCTCCCCGAAGCTCTTTGGGCTTACCGAATCTCAAAGCGGTCGGCCACGGGCACATCCCCTTACGCCTTAACCTACGGTCACGACGCCATCGTCCCAATGGAGTTAAAGGTTCGGTCTCTTCGCGTGGCCGAACAGCCTGGGCAAGAAAGGGGGAATTGTGCACAAGCCATGGTTCAGGAGTTGGAAGATTTGGAGCAGTCTAGACTCGACGCCTATAACCTAATGCAGGCATAGAAGCAAATTGCGGCAAGGGCTTACAACAAAAGGGTTAAACAAAAAGCTTTCGCCGAAGGCGACCTTGTATGGCGAGCCGTGCTTCCTATTGGAACAAAGGACCCTCGGTTCGGCAAGTTTTCGCCCAATTGGGAAGGGCCGTTCATTATCGAGCGAATCCTTGGCCGATGTGCATTTCAGTTAAGAGATAGAGATGGGGAGTGGCACAACATGCCGATCAACGGCCAATATTTGAAGAAATATGCCCTGTCATTATGGGAGACGGCCGTGAAAGAGTTATGAGATTTACAAAATATCAAAAGTGGAGTATGCAGCACGACAAAGACAAACTAAAGGAAATCATACTTCATTTTATTCATTTAGATCGAAAAGGGGGACACGTTTACAAAGGAACGGCCAGGTCATGGCCGAGTACAAACACACATAAGAAAAATCACATCCTAAATCTACGCGCTTCGGCTCCATGGTCTTCTTGCTAGACAACCAGACGCTTTCCCCCAAGGCAGGACCTTCGCCACTCAGATCATCATCAGCCACGGCCAGCCTAAAACCAGGGCTTCGCTCCAGGCCATGGGAAGCGCAAGGGCCGCCACTCCGGACACGAATGGCAACTGCCTTTCCAGCCATGGTAAGCAGTCGCCATTTCGGCAGTGGCAGCGGCAGCGGCCGTCGTTCAGACCGTGGAAGCGGCCATCACTCAGGACATGGTAAGCGGTCGTCATTCCGGTTATGGTAGGAGCCATCACTCCAGCCATGGTAAGGGCCGTTACTCCGGCCATGAATGCGGCCAGGGTACCCAGCCGCATAAATTCGGGAACGATAGGGTCATCATCCAAGGTCCACTCGCCCTCATCAAACTGCCAAGTCATCTGGACCAGGCCAAATCGCCAAGTCATGGAACTCAGCAGATATGGCTCCCTGGTTTCGAGGAGTCTGCAATGAGGATCATTTGGGCAGGTTGAAGTAGGGGAGAACGAAGCCCAGAAATCGAAGGAGGGCTCCAGAGTGATTAAAGCAAGAAGGAAGGTCACTGAGTAATGAAAAGAGGGCTGAGAAAACTGGGGAAAGTCAGTGTGAACCTTCAAAGAACTTGAACTCAGAGGTTTTGGGAGTGTGAAAGAAAATGCGAAGGAGTTTGGGTTTTATACTGGCACTGGAGTTCAAAACGCAGGAGTATGATTCTCGAAAGATAAAATGGCCTGACAGCGCACTCAGCACGCGAAATTATGACAGAAACATGGCGGCCGACGTTTCGATTAGCAGGGCAAATAATGGCTCATGCGAATTGAAAGCACGATGACGCGTCGAAAATCCAGAGACCGTCGTTTCACTTGACGAGGCGAAGCGACGCCCTAGGCAATGATGGCCTACACGACGTGCTTGAGGCATTAAATGCACCGACTGGCCTGCGCATTTAATGCCCCAGTTGTCAATCACTTCAGAATGAATGCAAAGGGTCCATCCCTTGGAATCCATTCGGCCCCTACCCAGGCAGGGATGTGGGGGCAATGTTTGTGCCTAATAAATCACGGCCATGAGCTGGCCGAAGGAGCCCCTTTTCTCGGCCCTGGCATTTGCTCGTAAAATTGGAACGCAGCGTTTCAACAGGGTGCTTTGCCTTCCTGAAGACAAAAGAAAAATGCCAAGGCATGATCATCTCGGCCTCGAGTGCAGGCCGAGGCCGAGGCCGAACGAAATCACGGCCAGAGGCATTAAATGCGAATCATCACGTGACAACAGGGTCCCATGCTTCATTTAATGAAGTAGTGCCTGTTTAATGCAGCGAACCCATTGGCCACAAA